CTAAAGTTGTCTTTAGGCTGTTTCTGATTTTGGTTGTATATTTTTGAAAAAATTTTCAAAAAACACTTTTGAGGAGATTTATTAAATATTAAAATCGTCTTCTGCTACAAACAGAACTGATTTTGAGATAAAAAAAATAATACCAAACTAAATCTATATTATTAAATTTTTATATTTAATAAGTAACCGCAATAAAGGACGTAACTACTATAAACTTATCCATGCATATACATCGTTCGGAGGAGTAAGACGTACGACAAATCAGACTTCAGAGTATTTTGTGTCCATCAATTGTAGCACATCTGCATGCTTAAAGCAGGGTGCCGACTGTTGGGTAATGTGGTGGCAAACCACACATCACTTTGTCATGCCACGATAAGGTGGTCGATCTGCATGGCCTCACAACTAGGTGAGCGTTGGGCGTTAGCATTACTTTGCACCTGTTTATGCCTTCAAGAGGCAGCTATATGTTTTTCAACTAAATAAATAAATAATTCAGCAAAAAAAAAAAAAACTAAAAATATAATAAATAAAAAAAGAGGCTGCTATATATTGAGCAGTCATTTTTGAAAAATTATGGAATAGACTACTTTGTCATACAGAATAATGAGCATTTTGACCGGACGACACTTGCAAAATAAGTGTAACGACACTAAATACTTCCCTTATACTATCTTGTCTTATATGTCTAATATTATCTCTCTCAAAATTCTCTCTCTTAAAATTTTTTTTAAAAAATTCAGGTTTTATGGACAGTGTCAATTTTGGTAGAAAAGTTCAAGTAGGAATCTCATGAGTTTTTTTTTTTTCTCTTTTCCCTATCAGTCAAGATGACTCAACCATTCGAAAGTTTTAAGTGCGTCAATTGCGTTCTAGATAATGGTCGTGTAAGGAACAATCAAATCCACAAAAGCCACCTTATGTATCCTCCCGCTCAATAGAAATACGCAATTGATATTAATTTTATTTTTTTTTCAAAATTAAATATTTATTAAAAAGAGGAAGATTATTTCAATAAATATCATATAGCAGTAACCAAGTCAGAAAAAAAGTTCAGGAATGTTTGAATTAAGTTTAAATTTTTTAAACTAAAATAATTGCAATAGAGTATTATTAGAACTAAAAATTAAAAGTGTGAATGAATTTTTTTTTTAAATATTCTACATAAAATATAAGATTAGTACATTTTAAAGGAGTACAATAACATAAGTTTTATATCAAACTTCAGGTTATAAATAAAAACTTCTAAAAATTTAGCACAAAATTTAGAAATAGAAGATTTTATGGGGATAAACAAGAAAAAAGTAGGCAAAATAATGGGTGCGTTTGGAATTGGTTCCAAAACGTTTTTATTTTTTGTATGAAAATGAAAACAAAAACGTTTTTATTTTCATTTTGGAATCATTTTTGAAAATGCGTTTGGTAATTTTATTCTGAGATTGTTTTCAGTTTAAAAAAAACTGAAATTGTGTTTGGTGGTTTAATTTTTAAAAATATATAATAATATTTAAACTAATAATATTAAATATATTAAATAAACATTATATACATATGAACAAAACCAAAAACCAGAGTAAAACAAGAAACATGAACAAAACCAAAAACCCGTGTAAAACAAGAAATATGAACAAAACCAAAGTTAAAAAAAACACCTACAAGCGTATCTTCTTATAAGTGCTTTTGATGTTCCCAGTCCCAGCATCATCAATTACAACATGGATATTACTTAAGCACTTATCATCGGGTTCTTTTTGTTGGAAACCACCAAGTGACAACCAAATGCCTGATTCTCTGCAACAAATGTCTGCCCATAAATCTCTATAGCAAAGCCAATAAAATGAATAAACAATCTAAACAACTAGTGAATGAAAGTATGAACTTAGCACCTTGCTAAAGACCAGTATTGTTGCATTCGTTCTGTTATTTTAAGACTTTCCCCATCTTTGGCATCCACAAAGGCAAAGTTTTCATATCATGACCCACCCCTATCGATGGGTGGCTGTGGGTCTTTTTTCTGGTGACTCCGGATCGGACTGTCACGATTCCGGTCACGAAGGCGGTTAAGAATTGAAAACTGCAGATCGGAGGAATATCAGAGGAGGCGGTCAAGATCGGAGGAAGCTCGTCGGAAGAGAAGAAGAAGATCTCGCATCGATGGAGGAGGAGGAAATCGTGCGGCGGAGGAGGAAATCATGGGCGGAGATGGGTTCTGGGCTTTTGGTTGTCGCCGTGGGTCAGCCGGAGGTTCTCGTTGCCGTTGGTGGTTCTCATCTTCGTGGAGAAAACGGTGGCGGGCAGTCGGAGAAGACGGTGGCGGGCAGTCGGAGAAGATGGTGGCGGGCGTCTCCTTCGTAGAAGTCAAGCTCCAATGGCAATGGCTGAAAACTAAAAACAGAGAAAATGAGAAAATGAAAAAACGGTATTATACCGTTTTCAATTTTTCAAAAAAGACAAAAATGTTTTTGTTTTTGTTTTTTAAAAATTTTACGCCAAACGCAATTTTAATTTGTATTTTCATTTTTTAATCTCAAAAAATGTGAAAAATAAAAATGAAAACATGAACAAAGAGGGCCAATAGGAAGCTAGATGGGTCCGAGGGCCTGCAGCCCCCTCTAAGCCCTCTAGGCCTAAGCTAGCTCAGTCCTGATATAACGTGTGCACACTCCTTTATTATATTAGAAAAAGGTGCAAATATCTATGCTTTTTTTTAGTATATAAATATGTGTATAAGTTTAAATTTTTAGTAATTTTTTATCTTTCTCTCCTTAAAAAAGAAATCTGTTTCTCATTGTAGCAGAAAAAAGTTAGATGTGATATTTTTTAAGAATTTTTTACTGTAAAAACCTAAAATTGAAAACTCAAATCCGCGAAGCGAACGAGGCCACCCCACACATTTCGTTGTATGTATCTTTTATTTAACTTTTTTCTTTTCATTTTTTTCATTTTTTCTTTTTCTTTTCTTCTTTTTCCTCCTTATTTTTTATTCATCTTTTGACATTTCATTTATATATATTTTTGAATTATTCCCTTTAAATACTTTTTTTACAGTAAAATATTAATTTTTTTTCTAATTATCATATTAAATTAATTTTTTTTTAGATATGTCCATAAATAAATATTTTTTTTATAATTCTCATAAATTACAGCTTCGAAACATTTCATATAAGTTTTTTCTTCATAAGTTTTTTTTGGGGTCTTTTTCCCCTATCTTTTGCTTCATAATTTTTTGTCCTAGCTCTTGTCTTTATTTTTTTATCATTTCTTTATTTTTCTTGATAATTTATATAATCATTGTTTTAAATGAGTCACGTAAATGAAGTGCATTTTTTATTAGTATAATAAACATGTTATTTGTAATGAACCAACATGAGATTGAGGGCCTTGAAAAAAAAAAAAAAAAAAACATAAGCTTGAGACTTGAGTGAATGGTGGACCAGAGCACCACAGAGAGACGACAATGCTTACCATTAGTCGTAACAAAAAACATACACCGTTGATGACGAGGAAAACGAGAAACAAGATGAATTTGAAGTTTTCCTTTTTTTTTCAAAAAAAAAAAAAACTAACAACAAAGGACGAGTAAAATTGGAAATTTTATGTTGTTTGTCTATATGGACCGCAGAAATATTGGCTAATTCAGTCGCTTTCTAAACGTGTTGTACATCGGTAAAGCTGATCGCTGTTCTTCCTCCAACGTAAGACCATTTGACGACACGCGACAATAAATAAATAAATAAATAACAAAAATAAAAATCGCATGATGATATTATAGGTCCCAAGTTTTATTTATTTAAAAAAAAAACGTTTAGGGGGGTTTTTTTTTTTACCTATTAGACCTAAAATTATCTTTTAAAACTCAAAATTTAATGAAAGCGGTTATCTATGGCGATCAAGTTGAATAATAACGTTAAACTAAAACATAAATCCTAAGAGAAGAGAAATTTTAGGTCTCATTCATTTCACTGTTTTTAGTTTTTAATTTTAACTTTATTATAGTTAAAAACGTCACATTTAAATTTTTTTTATTACAGTTAAAAACTCTCATATAAAGTCACATTTAAGCTCGAATCAGCGAACTGAATGAGGTTTTAATAATCTTAAGATAAACGTATTCTACGGACACGTTTAGTTCGTTAATTTAAGTTTTAATTCAAATTGTGATAAATTTTTATTGTAATAAAAAAATTAAATATAACTATTTTAAAAAAAAATTTAGTATAATAAAATTTAAATTCTAAACCCAAATTTGTACCTATTATTCGGAAAAAATGAAAACATCTACCATTGATCTTTGTCGTTACAACGACGTCTCATTTAGAAGTCATTCATCTTCAGGCCCCACAGACACAGACTTCCACAAACTTTTTACTAAAAATAAAAATAAAATAATAAAAATAAAAAAAGGAAAAAAGGAAAAGACGAGGAAAAAGCTCTAGTCATCTGATTGATCACGTTTTGAATGGACAGTGTCTGACTTATTTCTTAATTAATTTTCTCCTCCTAAACTCACTCACCACCACAAACCGCTTATAAATTCCCCACGTCAAATTACATCGTCACCGCCAAAACCTCCATATCTCCGGCTCTTCATTCGCCCACACTTAATTACTGTCATCATTCCTCCATTGACGATTTTCTTGCCTCTTTTCTGGGAGGTTTTCTGCGCATTTAATCTTTTTTTTATTCAATGAGACAATGATAGCAATTGGAGGGAGATCATTGGTGCCAACAAATTCTTCTCAAGGTCTTGGTGTTGTTGGGGTCGAACCACCATCGCTGAAGCCGGGGTTTGTGAGCTTTTCCGATTCTCTTAACGGTTCAAGTTCGAGGGTTTCGATTCGAGCTAAGGCCATGGAGGGTTCGGAAACGGTGAGTGTGACCGTGAGCGACGCGGATTTGAGCATAACGAATGGGCACGCCGGGAATCTAGGTATGGCTTATTGGATTTGGTGGCCTGTTTGGTTGCCGAGAAAACGGTGGGAAAAAAGTTTTTGTTTTTGAGTATTTGGGTCGATTGATGTACGTGGAATTGCTCTTGGAAGGAAGTGTTGTTCTGAGTTTTGGATTATTTTGATTTTGTTTGATTCGTAATGGTTTGGTTTAATGTTTCTTCTTAAATTTAATTTTTTGGTGTTGGATAGGTAACAATGAGAGTATGTTGTCTAGCATTGGGAATTCGACCAACATTAAATGGCATGAATGTTCAATTAAGAAAGCTGAAAGGCAGAAGCTTCTTAAGCAAAAAGGATGTGTCATATGGATCACTGGTCTCAGCGCTTCAGGTTTGTTCCTATCTTTTTCTATTTTAATAAGATCTTGTTTCGTTCATTGATTGGTAAATGTGAAATCTGTATATGATCTAATGATCGACTGGTGTTGAATGATTTTCTAAATTCTGAAACCTATTCCATTTTCATTAGAATTTTCAAGCATATACTAATTCGATGAGGCTCCGAATGCGTTTTTTTAATGATCTGGAAATTCGAGTGAAAATGGAAACCCCAATCAGATAAGGGTGGGAATTTAAATTTATCATAAATTTTACGATGTGTTTATGGACATCTCTGCTGTTGGCTCTTTGATCTACCCGCTGAATTATTAGGTTTCATTTGTTAAGGATCCCGATAACAGGCCTGCCCATTAATTCATTTACGAGGTTTCAAATTTTATTTTTCAGAGTTTAGGTGAATAAATGTCTTGAATTTTGGCAATGTAATTTAGCTAAGCCCCTAGTTGGCTAGTTCAGTTTAGTTGGTGATGAAGAAATTCTTACAATGGTCTCGTGAAATATCAAACTGTTCAATGTCGAATAGTAACAACATTAAATGTATGTGCTTGAACTCTTTGTGCCCGTGTATGGATTGTCTATGTTTACTTATTTGTTCTATATATCCATCTTTTCTTCTTTTTGTTTTTAACTTCAAGTCCAACAATAGGGAAGAGCTCCGTGGCATGTGCTTTGAGTCAGATGTTGCACTGCCGGGGGAAGCTGTCATATGTCCTTGATGGAGATAATGTGAGGCACGGCCTGAATCGTGACCTTAGCTTTAAAGCAGAAGACCGTGCAGAGAACATCCGGAGAATCGGTGAGTCTATTTAGAAAGGACAATGTTAGCTGATGCTCAAGTCTATTCGTACATGTGTGTGTGCATGTACAAATTTGAAGGAGCTGATTTGATTTAATACCTTGAAGCTTGGGTTGTTTACTCAATTGTTGAAACATTTGTCGTGATTAACTGATTATATTGCCTCTTAAGGATTCTGATGAATTTTCTGTATTAATTTCAGGTGAGGTGGCAAAGCTCTTTGCAGATGCTGGACTCATTTGCATTGCTAGTTTGATTTCTCCATACAGAAGGGATCGCGATGCTTGCCGGGCATTGCTAACCGATGGGGATTTTATTGAGGTCGGTGCTTCTCAATCTTATCACTGCTTTCATATTGTGGGTATTAAACAGTGTCTTAGGTAACTTCTATTGCAACAGGTGTTTATGGACATTCCACTTGAAGTTTGTGAGGAAAGAGACCCAAAAGGCCTCTATAAGCTTGCACGTGCAGGAAAGATTAAAGGTAATCTAGAGCTACCTTTGAAATTTTTTGCTTATAGGTTCTGTATTTAACATTCTGCTTATAGATCTGTGCCTATCTTTTAACCTTCAAAGTTTAAAAACGTACACAATTTTTTATTAAGATTTTGTCATTTTTGAAAAGTGAACTGCTATTTTAGTCTCATTTTTCGGTCCCCCCGCCCCGCCTTCTTTTTCATCCTTTTGAACATCTTACACCTCCACACCCGAACACATACACATGCTTAAGCACTCGCATACATATATGTCTTCAACATACATCTAAAAACCTGTGAGTCTTTGTATGGATGTTTCTAGGTAGTTCTGCTGTGTTTTGCTCTTGCTTTGTTAAAAATTGTATGTGTCTACATGTTTGTAACTTTGAATATGGATATTCCTAGCTAGTTCCTTTTTATATCATGACTTGATTTTGGCCGTTAATTTAGATTAGGGCCAGTGGTTCATCTTGCATATATCTTTTTCTTCATGTTTGGTGGATAATACTCAGTCCTAGGGTATTTTGTATGCTTGCTGCTACCCAATTTCGAGTCCATATGCTGATTTATATATGGTACTTGCCTAATATTTGCAGGTTTTACTGGGATTGATGATCCATATGAGCCGCCATTAAATTGTGAGGTACGTGTACTATGGAGCAAAGACTACTTATTCTAAACTACTAGAAATTTGAACAATGCCATTCTAAAGATTCAAGTCTATTCCCCTGTGCCAGGGTGAAACTCTGCCATTTATTGCTAAACTTTAGGAAATAGAACTGGCAAAATGTAGTTGATATATTGAAAGGAGCAAATGCTAGCTAGACTTTACAAGAAGTGTAAAACGGCCGTACACTTGCTTTCCCCTCATGGAACTTTTAGCTTTTAAATCCCCTGATCAAGAACTGCAGAGAGATTTTTTTTTTATATGTTTTGTTTTTTTTGTTTTTTTTTTGTAAATATCCCATCTCAACTTGAGTACTTTGAGATGGGATATTCTTGACTAGCTTTGAGTGTAATTATGCTCATGTCTTACTATAGCTGTCCAACAAGGTCAATCGTTTCTTCATTAAATCTGACTATTGTTAATTATCAATTCTGGTCTATGATTATCAAATTATTTTGTCATCATTTAAAATGGAAGTTTGATGTGACTTTTCTTGTTTTGTCTTCTCCTCAGATAATATTAGGACACAAAGGTGGAGCCTGTGCTTCCCCATGTGAAATGGCCGAAGAAGTGATGTCCTACTTGGGAGAGAAGGGATTCCTCCAGGCATAAAGGAAGGAAGGGGTGATGATATTTGGCCTTGCTTTGTGGGTAACCGAATTTTTTGAATTGTCAAAAAGAAAATTGAACTGAAGATAATACCACTGACTTTCTAAATTAAAAGTTCAGTGCTTTCTCTTCTGTATTATCAAACAAGAGAGAGAAGCTAGTTCAGAAGTTTGTTCTCTTCTCTCTCTCTCCTTTTCTTTCCTTTTTTTTTATATTGTCTGTCAAAAATTTCTTTCTATCATGAAAACTAAGAAAATGCAAAACTAAGAAGAAAAACTTTAGAGAGAGAAACTAGAAAGAGAGTTTCATTAATCTTGTGAAGATATATAAAATAAAGAACTTTAGAGCTCTATTTATAGGAAAATTTTTAACACTATTCACGGTTACTATTTGCATAGTATTTACTATTTACGGTTACTATTTGTACAGTGAGATTTGACATGAACAGTAACTTTGACTGACTTGCATAGTAATTTTAACTGAAGTGGATAACTACTATTCATAACACTCCTTTTTAAATGTCCACCATTCATAATGCCTTATTAAAAACATTGTTAGAAAAACCTAGTGGGATAAAAACCATAGCCAAGGCAAAAAAGAGTACATCATTTATCTATACATGTTTATGCTGCATTGTTAACCTTATCAGGAAAACTTAGTAGGATAAAACCATAATAAGAGAAAAAGAGTATAGTCACGTAAACTCCCCTTCAAATTGACATGTATAGGCATTTCTCATAAATCTCGTAGATGACGCATCTTGATACTGTGGATATGCTTTTTGAATGTTGTAGTGGGAAGTGTTTTATGAAAAAATCTGATGCATTATCACTTGATCGAATATATTGAATATCAATATCATTATTCTTTTCGAGTTCTTGAGAGTATGACTTCGAGGGTATGTGTTTCGTTCTGTCACTTTTGACGTAACCTTCTTTTATTTGAGCGACACATGCTACATTGTCTTCAAATAATACTGTTAGATCTTTCTTGATAGATTGTCCGCAAATTTCTTAGATATGTTGAGTCATAGACATCAATAATGCACATTCTCGACTTGCTTCATGGAGCGCAATAATTTCAGCATGATTTGATGAAGTGACAACAAGTGTTTGCTTTTGTGAACACCATGAAACATCAGTACCTCCACATGTGAACACGTATCTAGTTTGAGACCTGGCTTTATGTGGATCTGACAAATATCCTGCATATGCAAGACCAATCAGCCATTGTTTTGATCCTTTAAGATAAAATAATCCAAAATCAAATATTCCTTAAAGATAACGGAATATATGCTTAATTCCGTTCCAATGTCTTCGTGTAGGAGATGAGCTAAATCTTGCTAATAGATTAGTAGCAAAAACTATATCTAGTTAGGTACAATTAGCAAGATACATAAGAGTTCCTATTGCACTTAAATATGGTACTTCAAGATCGATGACTTCTTCATTATCTTCGCAAGGGCGAAATAGATTCTTTTCAACATTAAGTAATCTAACAATCATTGGAGTACTTAAAAGGTTTGCTTTATTCATATTAAAGCATTTTAAGACATTTTTAGTATAGTTTGATTGATGCACACGTATTCTACTTTGAAGGTGCTCAATTTGTAAACTAAGACAATATTTCATTTTTTCAAGGTCTTTCATTTCAAATTCATCTTTTAAGTAAATCACTACTTCTTGAATTTTTTATGAGTTCCAATGATGTTCAAATCATCGACATAAATTGCGATCATAACAAAACCAGATATTATTCTCTTAATAAAAAGACATGGGCAAATGAGATCATTCACATATCCTTCTTTTGACAAATATTCGCTTAAGCGATTATACTACATGCTTTCGGACTGCTTTAACCTATATAATGATCTTTGTAACTTAATCGAACATATATCTTTAGGTTTTGAACTTAGTGCTTCAGGCATCTTCAATCAATCAGGAATTTTCATATAAATATCAATATCAAGCAATCCGTATAAATAAGCTATAACAACGTTAATAAGACGCATCTCTAAATTTTTAGAAATTGTTAGGCTGATTAAATATTTGAACGTAATTGCATCAATTACGAGAAAATACATTTCCTTATAATCAATCCCGGGTCTTTGTAAAAAAAAACCTTGTGCACAAGTCGAGCTTTATACCTTACAATTTTATTTTTCTTATTGTGTTTTCGCACAAAAACCTATTTGTATCCCACAGGTCACGGCTTCAGGCATTAAGACAATAGGTCCAAAAATTTACGCTTATTAAGCGAATATAACTCAGCCTGTATGGCATCTTTCCATTTGATCCAATCGTGTCTATTTTGGCATTCAGAAATGGATCTTGGTTCAAGATCCTCAGTTCTGTTAATAATTTCACATGCCCCAGAGTAAGAAAATTTTTTATCAATATTTTCAATTTCATTTCGATTTCATAATCCTTTTATATTGATATAGTTAATAAAGATCTCATTATTCTCAAAACCTGATGAATTTTCTACGATATTGAGAATCTCTTTGTTTGTATTATTTTGTGTTTCTCCTAGAACACTTTCCTCCAAATCAGGGTTATTATGCTCATTTGCTCCCTTTCGTTTTCGAGGATTTTTGTCTTTAGAACTGATAGATCTACCACGCTTTAGGCGTGTTTTAGACACCCTTTTTGTATTAGTGAACGCATCTGGTAATTGATTTGCTAAGTTTTGTAAGTGTATAATCTTTTGTACTTCTAGTTCACATTACTTTGTGTAAGGATCAAGATGCAACAATGATGATTTACTCCATGTAATTTCTTTTTCCAGCTGTTTATTTTCTCCCCTTAATGCTGAGAAGACTACCTCATTAAAATGACAATCGGCAAAATGTGTCGTAAAAACATCACCAGTTTGAGGCTCAAGATATTTGATGATAGAAGAGGATTCATACCCAATGTATATTCCCAGTCTTCTTTGAGGACACATCTTTGTACACTGTGGTGGAGCAATTGGTACATATACCACACAACTAAATATTCTTAGATAGGAGATATTTGGTTCTTGACCAAATGCCAGTTGTAAAGGGGAGTACTTATTATAAGCACTTGGTCTGATGTGAATTAATGTCGCAGCATATAAAATTGCATGACTCAATACAGAAATAGGTAGCTTTGTTCTCATTATTAATGGTCTAGCAATAAGCTAGATGCGTTTAATTAATGATTCAGCCAAACCATTTTGTGTATGCACATGAGCAACAAGATGTTCGACAATAATTCCAATGGACACACAATAATCATTAAATGCTTGAGATGTGAATTCACCAACATTATCAAGTTTAACTTTCTTGATTGTATAGTTAAGAAATTGTGCTCGTAATTTAATTATCTGAGCAAGAAATCTCGCAAAATGCCACATTTCGAGTTGATAATAAGCAAACATATGACCATCTACTTGATGCATCTATTAATACCATAAAGTATCAGAATGGTCTGCACGGTGGGTGTATAGGCTCATATATATCACCTTAAATACGTTCAAGAAATGTAAGTGATTTTGTTTCAATTTTGGTTGGTGAAGGCATTGTAATCGGTTTACTAAGGGAACAAGCTTCACATAGAACTTTATTCATTTAAAAGATCTGCTAGCATTTTAATGAATGTCCATGTGAACTTTTCACGATTCTTCGCATCATTATTGTACCAGGATAACCCAAACGGTCATGCCGTAGGGTTAATATTTGAGGATCTTCTTTAACTAGCATGTGTGACCCTATCACGTTTATATACGTGTAATGAAATCCCAAAGAGAGTTTTAGAATTGTTCTAATATGTATTTCTTTCCTGATACATTTGTAGTTAAATACATATATTTCTTATTCCCTTCAATTTCAGATTGTGTATCATATCTATGAAAATATGTCTTTGAAACTCAACAAATTTCTTTTAGACCGGTGAAAATAGGGCATCATTTATGAAAAAAATTGTTCTATTTGGCAATACAAAACTTGCTCTACCAATCTCCTTAACCAGATCTACATGACCTGATATTGTATTGATTATTGTCTTTACTAATTTTAAATCAGAGAATTATTTTTCAAATTTTATGATAGTGTGCGTTGTACCACTATCTGGAATACAAATATCCCCAGTATTAACTTTTAACTTAGCTCCATCCATATTAATCTTCACACAAAAATAATAATATCATAAAAATTTCATGAATTTTAAGAAAATACATAACATAAATCCTTCACATGATTAATAAAACTCTCTCTAATTTCTCACTTTAAAATTTTTCTTCTTAGTTTTGCATGATGCCCCTTTAACTGTTTAAATAATGTTTTAATTTGTTAATTGAAATTACAGAGTTACCTTCTCTCGCTCGCTCTCTTCAAGCCATGAGGAATGGTGAATTATTATTATTATTTTTCCCTTGCTTGAAATAGTTCTTTCTAATTCAGACTGCTCAAATGTGTTGTTATAATTTACTACGCTTCAAATTATTTGAGAGAATTAGAGAAGGTTTCATAATTTCTACATCTTATTTTTAATTAATAACTTTTTTAATTAAATAGCTATACTAACAAAATAGTATTAATTAAAAATGATGAATAAAAATTTAGATATATGCCCTTTTAAGAGTAAATTCTATAATTTTCTTAATAAAAAAAAAATAAGAATGACCTTCTTGGAGAAGTGAAAAGGCGAAGTGCCCAAGTCCAACATTCTGAAGCCGGACATTTACTATTATCATATCCCACTAACCCTACTTTAAATTCTCTTAAAAAGTAAGCATTTCATTTCATTAAAAAAAAAAACAAAAGCAATTATTTGCTCAAGAAAACATTGTTGCGAGAGTTTGACTTGAGTTACTTCGAAAACGTTTGGTTCATGAATTTATAATTATGATTCATAATTATTTTTAATTTACGTGTATTTTTTATGAGAAAAAATATTATAACAAGTTACGAATTATGATCCAAACTATAACACGGATTTTTACTCTAAACGCATAATTCAGTTCAGATACAATGCCTCACTTTATGATACTCTTTTTGTTTGATCCCCTTGAGATGAAAAGGACCGTTTTTTTTTTCCTGCACTAATTTCGGGATTTTTGATTTGCCTTTCAATTCATCGCTCGTCCCAAATTTAGAAGAGTGAAAACCAAGGCACTATATGATATTGATTTTTCTAAAAAAGTAAAACTGAACGTAAATTATATAAAGTAAAGCACCAAGTTGGTAAACTAATTAATTAGATTTGGTTTGAAGCAAGTTTTGGAAAATTTTTTATACGGAAATAATAGAAAATATGCTAATATGAAAAGCTTAAGAAAGTATATAGGCTAACTTTTAGTTATAGAAATTAATAGGTCATAATTTGTCAAGTTGTGGTTCATAACCAGAAAAGTTATGGACAAACTTGTCAAGTTATGGTTTATAGCCAGACAAGTTATGGACAAAAACTGTGATTTATGGACAATAACTTGTCAAGTTATAGTTCATAACCAGACAAGTGATCGACAAAAACTGTGATTTATAGACAATAACTTGTCAAGTTATGGTTTATAACCAGACAAATTATAGACGAAAACAGTTTTTTGACCTATTTATTAACTTAGGTAAACTATTGATCTATTAATTTTAATTCATCTCAAATCTTGACCTATTTCCCTCTTTCTCTTTTTTTATAAACTTTGAGATTTCTTGGGCGTCAAACCTTGTTTTGGATGAGAATCAAATCAAATGTCCAATTTTGTCTCAATAGACAAAAAAAAAAAAAAAAAAAAAAAAAAAAAAAAAAAAAAAAAAAAAAAAAAGGAAAAAGAACAGAAGAAAAAAGAAAATGAAAAACTGGAAAGGTCAATAAATCTCGTATTTTGATTTTTTTTCCCTTAAAAGTCAACCATGTTTTGAGTGTTTTTCATGGTAAATCATGGCACATTAATTTCTTTTAATTTATATCTAAATAATTGCATGCTATATTATCGTGTCGAAATCTCTATATAAATACCATGCAGTAATATTCGTTTCTCCTATTCAACTTGTGAGCGTTTGCTTCACAATCTTTAGAACTATCTCCTCTGTTCTTGTGGTTTTTTTCTTTTTCTCTCCATGGCAATTACTGGCCTTTTTGCATGCAAATGGTACTTTCAGGCATTGAAACATAAAATCACGGAGGTTGGAGGAAAAAACAATCTGCTTCTGTTGCTCTGCATCACTCTTCTTTACACAGGTATGTCTTACATTTGCGTCGTCTTTGGTTAAAAAAAAAAGGTCAATAGGGAAGTGGTAAAAAGGCTAAAAAACCCTCGGTAGCAAAAGAATATTTCAGCACTAAATTTTTTTCCCTCCAAGGAATATGTATGCATATTCTTTTAGTTATTAGGGTTCGAGTGTATGCTATAGGAATCATTTCAAAAAATTCTATAAAAGACTTAATTTAGAAAAAGATTATATTTGTGATGGGAATAATAATGTTTACCATACTCCAGAGAGAAAAAAAAAAAAAAAAAAAAAGGCTTCTTTTTTACCACTAAGTTTCTTTTTTTTTTTTTTCGCCGATTCTTCTAATATTTTTTTCCAGTCAGTTTTCCCCAATATTTCATCTGTGTTAATCTAAATGAATGATAACGATTAGGCTTAGTTTTACGTGAAATATTTTTCACATATATATATATATATTTATATATATATTATATATTTGTCTGTATGTACATACATTGTTGTGCAATTCGCTGGACAAAGCACAAATTATTTAACTCGTTTTGCTCAAGGATAGTATTCCAAACGATTCCAGCACAAGACACAATCATATCACAATTTTAATTATTTCTCTGTGTCTACTATATATAGTTAAGTACGCATTAATTTTGATGCTTGATTTTCTGAGAGTATTTACCCATACTTAGATGAACTTCAATAGCCAAACTTACATGTAATAATACCGAATTGTGAACAGTGTACGTAACATGTTCACATGATCTGTAGAGAGCGGCTGAATTGGGCGGTATTCACAAGCCAAAAATTATAGTTACATTATGTAGTTGATCATCCTTCTTGGATTGTTTAGCAAATTAAAAAGCAACATGTAATCACGCATCTTGAACGTGTGCGACATAATCTAACACTATTATCGCCTATGTATTTGCGTTTCACATTTGTTCTCAGTCATGAGTAAAATGCATGCACATATATTTGAGATCTCTATTAATATTATAGAGTACATATTGTAAACTAATACACACTTAACTGTATATGTTAAGCTTGAGGTACATGAATATATAATATTACTGAAGAGGCTTTGGATAAATTATGAGAGAATAGGGAGAAAAAGGACACTGATGACAATTAGAGGAGAATAGGACAAAAAAAAATGTCATGTTTGGTTTCTGATACTCTCAAAACTAAGCTTATTATGACAATTAGAATATTATGATTATTCACCACGGCCTGAAATAAAATAAGCTGTGAATGAGGCCTTTCTTTCTATTCTATTAATACAACCACAATTGAAGGGGAAAAAAAACTTCTAGTACTATAGGAAAACTTAGAAGTTAAAAGCTCTCTCTCCTTTCCTAGAGAGAGATCTTAACTAGTCCTATAATTTTTAGCTTTATCCATACCAAATTATAATCCAACTAAAGTATAAAAAAGTGACCACTCATGTTTCTTTGATAGAGTTTTTAATTTTGAAGTGTCAAAAAAATTACTTAATTATGCTCTCAACTAGAGATTCAGATTTTTGTGTAATATCAAACAAACCAAGTACTATTGCAAATTATACACATTAATAATGTTTTGCAGGCTTTGGCGTAAATGCTTTATCCTATGATTACACAGCCAGCATTGAGGCAAGCTGTCCTTGTTGTAAACTTTTATTCTTGTAGTTCTATTAAACCAACCATCACACACACACGCCCACACACACAATACATATATATATATATATATATACGTATAACTATTTATCTATTTCAGTGTCTTGAAAGCCCTCAAAAACCTCAGTATGGAGGAGGAATACTCATTAACCCAGATCTGAATAAGGGCTTAAAAGGGTGGTCCACATTTGGTGATGCCAAAATACAACTTAGAGAATCCCAAGGCAACAAATTCATTGTGGCTCATACCAGAAATCAACAGCATGATAGTGTATCTCAAAAGCTTTACCTTAAAAAAGACAACATATACACATTTTCTGGTGAGTGATATTTTAATTGTCTGATAATATTGTTACCTAGCTAACAAATTAATTGTAGACTGGTTAATTAATCTCTTGTTAACACTTCTTTATGTGTATATATATAGCTTGGATAAGGGTAGATGGGGGAAATCAAGTCCCTATAACAGCTACTTTCAAGACAAGTAGTGGGTTCAAACATGCTGCTTCTGTAGTTGCTGAATCACATTGCTGGTCTTTTCTCAAAGGTGGCGTCACTGTGGATGACTCAGGCCCTGTAGAGCTCTACTTTGAGGTGCTTTTTTTTTTTTTCCTGGTCATCATTGACATATAAAGAATGAAAACTAATTAGTAAAATCTTAATTACTTCTTAATTCTCCTACGCTTCTTTCCTCTTTTATTTTGATCAAATTTTTAACATTTCATGGATTCTTCAGAGTAAGGACACATCAGTTGATATCTGGGTTGATAGCGTCTCTCTGCAACCATTTACTCAAAACCAGTGGAGATCTCATCAAGACCAAAGCATTCAGAAGGTAAACGTGCATCACATTTTAATTCATCTTTTTTATAAATACGCACATACATTATACATATACATACGTGAACAAACTTGTCTAAAATTCCCTGCTAGGACATTCAATTATAAATGCAAACTCATGAAAAGATTGGGATTTGTACTCTCTCTCTCTCTCTCTCTTTTTTTTTTTTTTTTTTTTTTTTTTTTGAAAGGACGAAAAATTAAAAATGCTAACGCAAATTCCATAATGTTTTGCTTGTACTACTTGGTGAATGTCGACTTTTCCATGCTTATGTATGTGTACGTATTTTCAAGAAAGTCATGCCTCAGACATGCGACAGTTGAGAAAATATAAATGTAATTTAAAGAAAACAAACCCTTATATGTGTGTATATATTTGCATGACTGGTGATATTACTGTTAATTTTCTCAGGTTCGTAAAAGCAAGGTGAGAATGAGAGTAGTGGACGCACAAGGCAAAGCTTTACCAAACGCAACACTCTCCATCCAACAAAACAAACTTAGTTTCCCCTTGGGTTGCGCCATAAACGACAACATCCTCACCAACCAAGCCTACCAAAACTGGTTCACTTCGAGGTCGTTTACCGTCACCACCTTCGAGAACGAGATGAAGTGGTACAGCACCGAAAAGACACCGGGCAAGGAGGACTACTCCACGGCGGACTCCATGATCCAGTTCGCCAAACGACACAACGTTTTGGTCAGAGGCCACAACGTGTTCTGGGACGACCCCAAGTACCAGCCCTGGTGGCTCAACTCCCTCTCCAAACGACAATTTTCTTCCGCCGTTTGGAGGAGGCTCAACTCTGTCGTTTCCCGGTACAGAGGCCAGCTCATCGCCTGGGACGTGGTGAACGAGAATTTGCACAACAATTTTTTCGAGAGTAAAATGGGAAATAATGCCTCGGCCACTTTTTACAATTGGGCTTTTAGGGCCGATCCTGAAACGACGATGTTTTTGAATGAGTATAATACGATAGAGAATCCAGGAGATGGGAAGGCCACGCCGAGAATGTACCTTCAGAAGCTGAGGGAGATTCAGGGCTTTCCGGGGAATTACAAAGGGAAAATGGGGATTGGGCTTGAGGCCCATTTTGGTACACTGAATATTGCTTACGTCAGATCTGCCATTGATGTTCTTGCTGCTACGGGTTTGCCCATTTGGATTACCGAATTGGACGTTCAAAGCTCTCCCAAGCAGGTAACATTTATTTTCCTTTTGATAAATTAATCTTATGACGTGGTGAAATTATCATGTCATATGTGGTGTATAAGTCAATTTTTTCTGCAATGAACGTTATAATTATTGTTTGAGATTTGTAACTCGTAGAGGTTATAACAATATTTAGGCAGTACACTAGCTACAATGGTTTGGTCAAATAATGATAAAATTATTTGTCAATTTTGTCGAATTTTATCCGTCACTTAAAACACAATAAAAACTCCTATATTTGGTACTTCATGAGTTCAAACTCATTATTTTAATTCTACGATAGTATTTTTCACTCATAAAAAATTTAAATTTCAAGAGTCATAATTAAAACTGCTGTACCAAACCGGTGAGCATCCAATGCAATCCGTCAAATTCAATCCAATACTACATTGGATTTCAAGACGTTGCATTCAAACCAATCCGGTTTAATTATATATTTATGTTTCTTGTCTATGTGGGCAGGCGATTTACCTGGAGCAGATTCTGAGGGAGCTACACTCACACCCTGGAGTCAAAGGAATTGTGATCTGGTCAGCATGGAGGCCACAAGGATGTTGGCAAATGTGCTTGACGGACAACAACTTCAAGAACTTGCCCACCGGAGATGTCGTCGACAAGCTAATGCACGAGTGGGGTTATCAAAACCGCGTCGTCTTATCTGGCACAACTGATGCTTCTGGTTTTTACGAGACCTCCCTTTTCCATGGAGATTACGAAGTGAAGATATCTCATCCAGAAGTTATATCCTCTTCATTTTCTCAGAGCTTGAATGTGGCACCAAAACTTGATGAACATTATGCCACTCAAAGGAGATCAGCACCACTACTAATCCAAGTTCATTCTTAATAATTAACTAGAGTTTTTACGCCAAGTTAGGCCTCTTATGATCTCCTGTGTAATGGAAGAACTACGAGTTATTAGTAAGTAGTTGGTATTATAGGGATTGTCATCCGAAGTAGTACTAGTACAATGATCGCATGATTAAACGACAAAATAATGCATGATTTATGTCGTCATGTGCATAGGAGAGAAAGCAGGTTTTTTTTTAGTACTAGTGAAGAGATCAGAGAGCTAATGATTTTGGTGGCGGCAAAATTACATGCAAAAGATGATTCTTAATAACGTCAAATGAAGATTATACTATGTTCGTTTGAAATGGTTTTGATGATGATCTTGATGGTTTCTTAAACGTACCTAGCTCAAATATTTGTGATCTGTTTCTCCAAAGTTAGGTTTGGAAAGTCCGAAAGTAACAACGAACTTGTCCAAATTGCTCGCTCATTTTCCATGAATTGCACATAGCCTTGTCATGCTGATGGTAGTAACATATATGTTACAACTACTTTTATTTCAGCATTAACTGGTTTTGTTGTCGTAGGATGTCCTCTTTGTTATAATTAGCTTCTTTTTGCTGTAGCCAATATTGCATTGTCTCGCTAATATTTATTAACCTTTTGACTTTTTTTTTTTTTTTTCGTTTTTTGATGATTGAAGAGTGAAGACTAACCAAATGTACAGTGACTTCTAGTTGCATTTTGAAAAAAAAAAAAAAAAAAAAAAGAGAGAGAGAGAGAAGATTTATGGTTCCATACATTTTAATAACCTTGAGAGTTGCTCCGGAGAGAGAAATAGGGACATTTATGGGGTAGTTGTAATAAGTACCATTTTTTCTGTTTGCTTTTTCCTTTTTTTTTTTACTCAAAACGATTTAACAAATTCAAGCAGAAAATCCATATTAAAAAGAAAAAAGAAAAGTATGTCCCATAACAATAATTAGGAACATATTTGGTTGGAACAATTTCTCAGAATATGTCTTTGTAGCTAGACACGCGTCACACGCCATTGGTGATCTTAACTTGCCTCTCCTTAGAATTTTTCTTCAAAAGGCCTCCAATTAATTGCCTAAAAGAAAAGGTTTCAGTATTAAGATTGGCGTGACACATTTTATATTCTTGTAATTATTTCTTGATAGACAAAATAGCTCAATACATAATACGCGTTACATTTATACATTACATCTTAGCCACAATATATATTCCATAAATTTCTGCCAATTCTCTCTATTCTCTAGATTTCATCATTAATTAAGGCTTCGTTTACTTTGTTTATTCGAATTGAGATGTAATTTTATGTGATCTTTTAACTGTAATAAAAAAATTAAATATAAATAAAAAATTTTAACCGTAACAAAACTAAAATTAAAAATTTAAATCAGTA